TTTTTTTTTTTGTTTTTATATGTCGAGTTTCCTTAGACTTTCTAAGTTATCCATGTAACGAGCTATTTGTCAATGACTCCCAAATCAATTGGCTTTAGGGCATTAGGTGAAGAGACACCCCTAAGAACATACTTACTCAAGTAACAAAGACCACGAAACATTCGACTTCTCTTTCTTTTTCTTTTTCTTTTTTTTTTTCAGCCAAAGAACATATTCTTTCCTCAGTTATCACTTGTCTTTTAACGCGAATACTAACATTTGTGATGAAAGCACCCGGTTACTCAACATGTCATAAACTCAAAGTGCTTTGCATACTCATATTTCAAGTCGCCATTTGACATGAAAGTTGACATGGGTCTCATGCCTAACTCTTAGTTACTAAGCAATTAGAAACATTGGAGTAGAAGTTAACAAACTCTTTTGTATTGGGTTTTTTTTTTTTTTTGTGTGCTTTGTAGGTGCTACTAAGTCTTCTCTCTAAACTTCTCACTACAAACTTGTGCTCAAATAGAATAGAATATTCATGAACTTAAACTTCATCACAATGGTGTTATTTTTTAGATTTTGTATCTCCTCTAAGATTAAAAGATTTAGAAGTTTTTAAATTTTCAACTCAAGAATATTCAATTCCTTGACACTAATTGGACCAACTCCTAAAAAAAATACCCTAATTTCTAAAAATATGTATGTCATGCAAATATGAATGCAACTAATATAAGAATGGATGCCTAAAAGTTATTCTCTCCCCCAAACTTAAATTAAACATTGTCCTCAATGTAAAATAAAAGTAAGAGAAAAACTTCCTTATTTTTGTAATTGAAGACTTAAAATTGAAGTTCTGAAGTTAAGTTGTCTTCATTTAGAGGAGACTTCTAGCATCTGAATTTCCATAATCTTGTCCCCCAAACTTGTTTAATGACCTGGCCAAAATCAAAGAACAACAATTTATGCATTGACCTGTGCTATAAAGAAAAAATAAATAATAAAAAAATCTAAACTATTAAAATAAAAGACAAAGAAATAAAAGTAAAGAAAATTTTATGCTTGAGTTGCCTCCCAAGAAGTGCTTAATTTATAGTCATTAGATAGACTTTCTACCACTCTAAGGTGGTTTTGGATCAAGTCGTAAGGCATGTCCTCTTGTTTTCTTAAATCTTGGCTTTCTAGCTCTTAAGTTGAATTAACCATGAGATTTTCTCCAATGACTATTCTGAGGTGGTTTGAATTTAGGCCAAAAGATATGCCTTCCCAATTCTTCTAGGAGTGACCCCTTTGATTCCAAGGAAGATGATGTTTTCAAGCAATTTATATATTCTTTGGTTGGATCCTTTGCTTGAATAAGGTAAATCTCAAATGGATCCTCATAAGTGTTTTTCTGCAAAATCTCATCAACCATATTAATAACAAAATAATCATTAAAATTAGATTTGGTTAAAGGAGACTCCCCGTTGAACACTTCAAATGACACTTGAGCTTTTTCCTCTTCCTTCTTAGGGACATCCTCTTGTTTAGTTTCTGCAGGTATGTTTTCCACTTCTTCAAGTTGTCCTTCAATCTCCAAGAGTAAAGTGTTTACCTCTTCTTCTTGATTTTTCATTGTTGCACTAGGTAACTCACTTTGTATCTCTTCAACAACTAAGTTGAGCAAATGACTTGATTGGACCTCCAGATTTCTATCCAAACATGTCTCCTCTTCTTGATCTTGAAACCTTGATTGTGGCACCAATATATCTTCATTATTCCATAAGGAGTTTGAATAATTTATCCAATCAGAGTTGCATGTATTGGGATAAGAATTATATTGCTGGCCACAAGAAAAATCAACACATGTTATATCGCTTATACACTACTAGAAAAATGACGTATACGGACCAACCATATACGGACCAAATAGTGTCGGTCCGAAAAAATAAATATTCGAACCAATATCGGTCTGAATATATTCAGGTGGGGAAAAATATACTAATGAACATATTCGGACCGGTATCGGTCCGTATATTTCTGATGAGAGTCAACAGTATAGACGCGCCAATAATATTCGGATCATTTTCGGTCCGAATATTATTTCTGAAAAAAATAAATATTAAATACCAAAAAATATGTCACGCCCCAGAACCCAAATCCGAGACGCGACAGACGCCGTGCACTCGTGAGACGGGTCCCACAAGTGCACAAGGCTCGGAACTTATCCAAATCACAAAATCTCATGAATAAAATCAACCTTACAAAAGGATGATAAAATCTAAAACTTATACCCCAATTGAATGGCTAGCCTTCTAACTCGTCACTCCCCTCGGTTTCCCCGTCCTCGGTTTCGCTTCCTGAAATGGTGGACAAGGAAAACTATGAGATAACTCAGTAAGTAAATACGGATAGCCCTTGGGTAAAACTTTTAAGCATGCCAGATAAACAGTTTAATATAACCAAAACGCTCAGTGACAAAATCAGATTCAGTTTAATTGCAAAGCATTCATGACAAACCGTTAATGCAGAAGAAAACTCAGTTCAGTAGTCTCATCTATAAGTCATGGCCAGTGTTTACAAACTCCCACTGGCAGGCGTCAGTAATGGTGCCAGTGTTTAACACACTCCCACTGGCAGGCGTCAGTAATGGTGCCAGTGTTTACACACTCCCACTGGCAGGCGTCAGTAATAGTGCCAGTGTTTAGGCGTCAGTAATAGTGCCAGTGTTTACACACTCCCACTGGCAGGCGTCAGTCATCATGACTATATCCGAGACAAAACCATGCAGGATTTTCAAAAATCCATAATTCACAATCAATCTCAAATCTCAGAAACAAACCAGAAAATTTCCATGTGACCATGGATTTAACAGAAAACTCAGAATTTGCAAACTCTTAGTTCATCAAAACAGTTCCGTCAATTCCCAAATAGGCATGCTCTATTCCAGAAAAACAATGAAATTCTCATTTTCATTTCTCAATCATGCTCATTTCCAGAAAAT